ATATTCAGCCCGATAGATTCATATCACATTGCTATTGTTGCATCTTTCTGATTAGACGTTACTCGTTCATGAATAATTTTTGAAGGGTGGGTGTGGACGTGACTTCAGACTCATACCCACGCCCACATCAACACCCCAACACCCACACCCACACCCTGCTCTTGAATACTAACATTCTATACCGATGTAATCGGAAATGCGTTAATAAAACGCTATTGTAACATACTTTTTTTATTTTCAAATACTTTTATGTTAGTGGACGCCAGCTGCATGAAAATGCCAGCCATCGTTATACTTTACATGCAATTATTGTCTTAATCGTTAGGCTTACTGTTGCATGCCTAACGATTTCACTTTTTTTGAACAAGTCGCGGTATAAAGTACTTTATGCAAACACCTCTGTTCTTGTGATTTTTGAGACTGAGAGTTGTTTATATAAACTAGACTTGTTCTGAAACTGAACATGCAATTTTGTAGAGCGAGGTTTGCTCTATCGATTGCATGCTGACTTGGAACAAATCTAGTTTATTTAAACAGCTCGTACCCTCAAAAGTCGCAAAAACATAGGAATTGAAGATTTATGAGCGTGAGAGTTATTTATACAAACTAGACTTGGAACAAGTCTAACATACCAATCGATAGAACGAACTTCACTCTACAAAACTGCATATTCAGTTTTAGAACAAGTCTAGCTTACATAAACAACTCTTAATCTCAAAAGCCAAAATAACAGAGGTGTTTACATAAAGTACACTTATGCCCAAGTCGCTGGCTGCACAGTTGTAGTTGTCGTAGTATGTCCTGTCCGGTGCACACGGTGCACCGTATACGGCTGCACCGGTGGTACGGTGAACCGGTGGTACGGTGAACCGATGGTACGGTGCACCGGTACTACGGTGCATCGGTGGTACGGTGCACCGGTGGTACTGTGACACCGGTACTACGGTGCACCGGTGGTACGGCGCACCGGTGGTACGGTGCACCGGTGGTACAGTGCACCGGTACTACGGTGCATCGGTGGTACGGTGCACCGGTGGTACTGTGACACCGGTACTACGGTGCACCGGCGGTACGGTGCACCGATGGCACGGTGCACCGATGGACGGTGGACCGGTGGACCACCGTCACCGTTGCATCCCTAGAGATAACATTTTAGAATAGTTTAAGATTCGTAGATATTCTAATCATTGCTTGAAATGATTATAGGATAGTGTATCATCCGTTGACTCATTTTTTTCTCTCTCCTATTCATTATCGTCAGGGCCGCCCCGACCGGGGGGGGGGGTGCCGGGAGTGCGACACCCCCCCAATAATTGGAACTTCCTTGATTTTTATTAATAAAAAAAGTCGCTTTAAAAGAGATTTGATCGATGTGTAAGAAACTAAGAAAGAGAATTGACTGATAAGAAGGCATGTATTCATACAATTATCTCTTTTTCTCCCTCTTGTATTAATTTCGCTGTTTCGTAATGACGACTGATGTTATTCGATGATCATGAATGTTCTGTTTCGATCGTGACCTTCAACGTTTCATTTTCGTCCATCCTAGTCGACTATTTTACAGAGAGAAAGAAAATGAAGAGAAGCGTTAAAAATGGTGACAAAAGATGAAAATGCACCCATTCAATCGCTATGTGATTGCTTTTTGTATTACATAAACAAGCTAAGAATACGATACAAAACTTTTCTGTTATCTTACTAAATATTCCATTTTCCAGAATTACGCTGCCCCAGTCATAAAATGTCATCATGTATCCTATGAAAACACTTCTCTTTAAATTACTTTGTTATTTACATTTTTAGATGGTGCTTATTTGAATAGCTATACTCTAACAGTTGTTAATGCATTCGGAATCGTCAGCCATAAAACGTAACAGTAGTATCAGTAAACAGGATAATGATAACAGTATATTGAAGTATTTTAAGAAAAGAAAAAATGATGAAGTATTGACAACTACTAATTCTATATTATCTGTAGCATCTGCTTCACCAAATTTGCAAATAAATGTATTAAATAATGAAACAACAAATACTAATTCTATATTATCTGTTATACCTGATTCATCATCCTCAATTATGCCAAATAATATTTTAGAAGATACTGAAAGCATACGTGAACCAGCAAGAACAACAAGAGCAGTGACATGCGACTCAAATGATAATTCTGATTTATACGAAACAGGAATCAAATTACGTATGATTGAAACCTTGCTTCATTCGTGTCAAGATCTAATCAAGTTATCCACATCTGTTGATGTGTGTGAAGAAATGTTTATAGAAAAGTCAAATGCTTTTGCTGATAAAGTTCTTCAACTTGGAAATGATTTAAAAAATTTATGTATCAATATTATGTCGAAAATAGAAGCTAATCGAAATAAAATAAAAATAAGTGATTCACTGGAAAATAATTTAATCAATCGTGATCCAGGTAAACACATGAAGTATAATTATTCTGAAAAATTATGTTCATATTTTATGTATGCTTTCAGGCTATTACGAAGATAACTATAAGTTTAATGAAGAACAGTTGCGTTACTTGATCTCTGTGGGACCATTTCAGGCAAAGTTCCAGCAATATCCAAAAAACAAAGAACTGCATTCAGCTAAAAAGACTTGCAGGTTTGCTGCAAAATGGTTTGATGAATATCCATATCTTGAGTACAGTGTAGTAAAAGATGCGGCTTTCTGCTTCACGTGTAGATTGTTTGCTGAAGGTTACAGTAATATGAATCGTTTATTATTTATCAAAATAGCCATTTATCTTCCCTATAGGACCAGGTGGTGAAAAGCGCACAGATGCTTGGATTTCGAATGGTGTGTCAACATGGAATAAAATGAAGAGTCAAGGAATGCAAAAGAAAGGTATATCAGAAATATTTTGCCGTAAAGTTGAAGATCTAACACATATCTTTAATGAGTTATTTGTTTCGCTTTTGATTTAGGCAAACTTGAACAACATTTTTCATCTGCAGCACACAGAGCATCAGTTGATCGATACTTAAATTTCAAAACGAAAAAGCTGAATGTTGATTTAATGCTTAATAGTAATCGATTTAAAGAAAACCAAGAACAGGAAATAATCTTACAACTAAATAAACAGGTGGTCGTAACTTTACTTGATTCTGCAAGATATCTTGCACGACAAGGTTTAGCATTTCGACGGGAGCCAGCAAGTGAAGGTTTGTAAAAAAAAAGTTTCATCAGCACTTATTAGTACACTTTAATAAAATCTTCTCGTTATCAGGCAACTTTTTTCAGCTTATTTCTATGCAACGTCGTAGTAATAAAATTTTCAACGACTGGTTTATGAAATCAAAATTAGAAAAGTATCAGGTAAGATATTTTATTTTTCCATAGTCAAAGATCCTTATTCATCTAGGTGTCGTATATGAGTAACCGATCACAAGACGAATATATTCAATTGTTGGGACAAGCAGTTGAAGATTTAGTTATGGATGAGATTAATAAATCACCATTTATATCGATTATGATGGACAGTACTCCGGATGCATCACATCGTGAGATGTACTCGATCGTCATTCGATACACGAAGCATTATCAAATAGAAGAGCGTTTGTTATCTTTACAAGAACTTCCTAGCAAAGTAGGTGAAGACATATGTTTGTTATTAGTAAAAGTTTTAGAGAAAAAAGGAATATCATTGGAAAAAATCATCGGCCAGTGCTATGATAATGCTCCTAACATGGGTGGTGTGAATAAAGGTGTACAGGCATGCGTAAATAAGCATTTTAATCGAGAAATAATACATATTCCTTGTAGTGCACATAGTTCTAATTTAACAATAGAACATGCATGTGATTGTTCTATTGAGTATACCAATCTGTTTATGATATTACAAGAATTGTACAATTATTTTACAATGAGCATGAAACGATATTATCTTCTTCGGAAAGAACTCGGCAAATCTCCATATGGTTTAAGCCTGAAATCATTGTCTGATACAAGATGGAGTGCAAATTATGAATCTATTTATTGCCTCATCGAATCATATAACGAGATTATTAATTGTTTTAAATTAATTGAAGAAGGAGCACAATTTGATAAAGAAACAAAAGTACAAGGAAAAAACTTGAGAAACAAGTTAGTATCATATGAAATAGTTGTTTTGTTAAAATTTATGGAAAACATTACACGGACAACTAACTCATTAACAACACATCTACAATCGAAAAAATTAGATATATTATCATCAATGGAATTGACCGAAAATACTTTAAAGTTAATTCAAAAAATGAGAAATGATGATCAATCATTGAAAAATATGTTACTTGTTAGTAATGTTATACATGCTATTATCGCTCTATAATATATTGACTTTTTTTGTAATTTTTCTAATTCAGTTAGGAGAAAAACTCGTTGAACCTTATGACGTTGATATTGATAAAGAATTCAATCGACTCCATCGATTTCGTCGACCGTCACGTCGTAATGATGACAATTCTGAATCTGGTATTAGTTTTACGAGGTAATTTCTAAGAAGCAAGCCAAATTTTCTATTACACAATATTAGTGAAAATTTAATGGGATGGTTTTTGTTTTTCAGAGAGTCATTTTATTTAAAATTATTCTATGAAATACTCGACTATTTATATTCAACCTATCTTGATTTTTTAAATATTTTGAAAGAAAAATTAAAATGGTTTATTAACATAACACCTGGACGAATCGAACAATTGACATTAAATGAATGTCAACATATGTGTAAATTAGTTCCAAAATTGACAAATCCATCACTATTGTTTAACGAGTTTCAACTGTTGACTGATAAAATAAAAGAATGTGACGATATGAATGGTATTACAAAGCTATTACAACAATCTGGACATTTATATCCAAAATTATCCAGCGTATATAATTATGTATTTACATTACCAATAACAACTGCAACAAATGAACGCAGTTTCAGCAAAATGAAACTGATTAAGAATTATCTCAGAACAACATTGTTGAATGAAAAATTTGAATACTTGCTCCTTTGTGCAGTAGAACGTGATTTACTCGATAAAGTAAATTTATCAAAACTAGCTGAGGAATGGGTGAGTTCAATCTTTATTCATAAACTTCTTTTCTTTGTATAATAATAGTTATTAATTCATTATTTATGATATATTTTCTAGTCTCGAATGAAAGATCGACGTATAAAAATTATCACAGATTAATTTTCTGGTATGATTTATTAGAGGTTCAAGGTGTTGTTATGGTCTTTTATTTTTGTACAAATTGCTTTGGTGTCATTACTTCTTCATTCTACTTCTTTTGATAATAATTTGAAATGAAGTATATTTTATATGAAAAATAAATCGAATGAACAATTGCATTTTTTATTTTGAAACATACCGTCCCGTCTGACAACCCTTTTACCCCCCCCCCCCCCCCAAAGTTTGCCGAGTCGGGGCAGCCCTGATTATCGTATCCATCATATACGTTTGTCTATACTACAACACGTGCACATATGTAAAAAAAAAACTGAGACCTTTTTCTGTGATTTCATTTCTTTAGCATTAACAGCTTTTTCCGAGATCATTTTCATGTTAATTTGAGCTTGGAAAAAAACGAGATCACTTTCCTCGTTTTCTCCGAGCTAAATTCCTTTTTTTTCCATTTTAGCTATTACACTATTTATCTGTTTTTCATTATATGATTCTTTTAATTTCGTCTTGTTTCACTTTTACTACTTGTAAGTTTTTGATGCGCGCCACTTCATTTTCGATAAATACTTATTTATTTTTCGTCATCTCAAACTCTCTTGTAAACATTTATGAGCTCATAGATGGAATTGATACCGACGATCGATCGGATCTGATCCGATCCGATCCGAGTCAGTACTGGTAAGGATTTTTGATGGATTAGTCTACCGAGATCGTCCGTTTTTCCAGTAGACCGGTCGATTGTCGGTTATGATCTATCTTTTTTCTGGTCCTATTAGAAATAGAAATATTTGCCGAGCTTAAACCAGTGAACTGATATATAAAATGGATGAAGACAATCGTCTTTCATTTTAAAGACCATATTCTTTAGTCAATTCAGAGATTACAGGAGTGCAATCGATATTAACATGGGTTTCAGACCAGCCAGTCCAGTTCGCTCTGAATGAACCGGATTGGTACCGGTCGACAAAAATCCAGACCGATTCCATCTATGTATGAGTTTTTTTTAATATTTTGTCATTACTTTCAGAAGTAGATACCTACGTAGACTGACAGTCAAGCAAAGATATAGATAAGTATATAAATACAAAAGAACGTCATTTATTGTCATTCTTTTGAAGAGAACAAGTGCAACGAATTTGCTCAAATTGTGAAATTTCTTATTCATCGTTCAGAAGAGAAACTGTGAAGAATTCATTCTGACAAAGTAAAAGTTCCTTTTTTTCTAAGAAAAAAAAAACGAATGTTCCGAGAATCTGAGGAAGATCCATATCGGACCGTATTTGATTTTTTCTGGAAAGGCTCTTTCTTTAAAAAAAGATCTTTCATTTTTTTAGTACACATTCACTTCCGTTTTTTTCCCAGAAACTTTTCTCCTTTGATTCATTGTTATCAACCGCACCTTTTTCGTTTATCTTTTACGGAGAAACTAGGTGCATTTTATACGATGGTGATTTTGTGTGTAGCTGATCTTGATCGGTTCACGACAGAGTTTAGTTCACTTCGGCCGACTTGAACTTGTCAATGAGCCAATTGTTCGCAATATCTGATATTGAATGGCATTTATGTCATTGTTGGATTTGATTATTTTTCATAAGCCAATAATAGTAATGTATGTTACTCAATAATAAATAAAAGACTCATTATAGAAGAAGAATACTCCTGCCTTCCGATATAGGGATGCTGTCCGAAGACAGTTTCGACAAGCCGGATATTTTTCCTACAACTATTGTTAGCTGCAACTCTGGATAGAAGGCTGTCTTGACGCAGAATTCTTCTCTCTCAATTACTTGAGCTTCCCATACACATTGACTAACTACATGCTAAGCACAAGGCCCGGTGTATGTCACATGTAATCAACATGCTATCAGACGGATGATCTGAGAGAAATAGCCGTGAGTGACTTGTTCAAAGTTATTCTATGACTAGTAGTACCGAGGTTTGAACACGGTATCTTGTGGATACATGTCAAACACGTAACCACTCAACCATGGCATGCATTACTTGATCGAGCTTGTATTGAATTTAATAAAAAAGATTATCGACAAACACAATATTTATATAAACATGCTTTAAAATATGCATAAAAAAATTCTGCTGATATTCGTGTTGTATTAGCCAATGCATTTGTTAAATTAAATAAACTTGAAAACACTAAGTAAGAAAATTGAAATTAAGAAAAAAAACCAATATTTTCATTTGATTTTTCTTTTGTAAAGATTAGCATTTAATCGTGCCATTGAAATTGATCCATAAATATGTATTGAAGCATTAGTTAGTTTAACTATATTGGTATTAAATATGAAAACATTCGAATCAATTCGTAATGATATGTGATGAAACTTTCTTGAGCTTATCAATACGATCTACAAAATCCAATAGTTTTAAATCATATAGCAAATCATTTTTTTTTCTTTAAAAAAGTTTGTCGTTGTTTGAAATTGAAATTTGTTGATTTGTTTTTTTTTTGTAAGAATTATAAACATGTTCGTCAATTAGCAATGCATGCGTTAAATTATACAGAAAACGAAGCCATGCAAGCAGAAAGTTCTTATCCTTTAGCTCAAGGTTTATTATTCTGAATGGAATTATGAAGAAGCATTTCGTTATTATTATTATCAAGCAACACATTTAACATCAGAAAAATTTGTTTTTTACCATTATTTGATCTTGAATAAATGTATCATCATTAAGTATCCCATAATGATCGTTATAGGTCACTTTTTTAGAACTCGATACGAATCGATCTTTAGTCGACTGTTGCCAAAGAGAGTGAGAAATCTTTATAAAGTCAAATAAGAAGATGTTTGCAGATGACCTGTTTGAATCATTCTGGCGTCCGATTAATTTTTCTTCTTTAATTCGGACATCTATAGTTCGACCTTTGAAAAAATGTAAACTGAACATATTAGTATAGCTCTAATATAGACACGATATTCTCATCTTTATCATCAGCAAATGTTGTCTTAAAAGCTAAGCTAGTCTGATATAAACAATGGTAGATTAGATAGTCCTAAGAAGTAATCTCCAAACATCTTTACACAAGAGAGAAAGTGTAAATTTGGAGCTGTCAGCACCATTTCAACACCTTTTGATATTGAAAGTTAGTAGTGATGCGCATTATAGTTTGGAAAATAGGATAGAAATTCAGGTAACAGATAAAAATGAGAATAATACTATTCAAATTGAATTTTGTCGATTAAGACCAAGCTATTTTTCGAATTCTTGCATTCGTTTGTTTTTTTGTCTAGAAGACATTTGTTTCATGATAATAGATAGCTTTCATAAAACAAAATTAAATTGTGGGAAAATAGACTTCCATTGACCAAAAAAAACCAAACTTGAAAAACTTCAACAAACTACCTATAGATTCGAATTCCTTGATCCAGAAAACCTTTAGTCGAGTTCTATAAAAAAAAATGATTATTGTCGAAAAATATCTTGATCTTAATCGACAAAATCGAATTTGAATAGTATCATTCTCAGATCTAGCTATAAATTCGGTACTATGGTATTGTACTTATCTTCTTGTCTTTATACAAGACATTTTCTTTTCGTCAATCCGTTAAAGTTTACTATTGATTCTGCAAGATTCTTTGTTTTCCTATCAACAAAAAAAAAGAAATAGAAGAATGTTAGGTACACAATGTCGATACTTTTTCCGATGTTTCAATAACAAATATATCAATAAGAGGATTCTTTCTGCCAAATTACAATGATCACGGTTTACATATAAAATGCATCAATCTTCTTAAAATCTCTTTCTCAAAGAGACAATCATCTTCATTATTCAATCGAAACATAGAAGAACGATCTATTTTACTTAGTATCTGTAGACAATTGTCGTCATTCATATTTAAGTTATCAAAGAAAGTAGAAAATATTCATAAGAATCAATGAGAGTTTTTACTTCAACTAAGTAAATTTCGTCTGATAACGATCTTGGATTGTATAAAAGGCATGATGTCTGAATATGTTACTGTTATATACGAATGATTGCATATGAAATTTTCACTTCCTAGAATATTCTTCTAAAAATAATTTGAAAATTGACTCTGTTAGATATAAAATATTTTTCTATTTCTTTAAATTCATTGGATGCTTATATATGACTATACATCAAATTTAATTCGTGAATTTCATGGAAAAGATATTCAAATAGAAGTGTTTAATAATATGGATTCATTACATTATCTGAACAAGCTTATTAAATTGAATCAGCTTATGCTAATTCAATTTTTATTACAATGCGTTATAATTTAGTTCGTGTATGCGAAGCTTCATTTGAATTTAATAAAACTGAAACATTATATAAAGAAATTTTACGTGAACATTCAAAATATGTTGATTGTGTACTTCGTTTGGGTTCTATGGTACATGATCGTGGTCAGATTTATAGTGCATCTCATTGGTTTAAAGATGTACTATTGAAATAAATCATAATTCACCGAATGCATGGACTATGATTGGAAATATACATACGACAAAACAAGAATGGAGACCTCGATAAAAGATATTTGAAAGAATTTTATATAATTCACAGACAATAAATGATTCGTTATGCTTTAATTTCATCAGGAAACATATGATTACAAACTTAATATATGCCGACATGTGATAAAGAAAGAGTAAGATTTATTTAAAGAAATCAAACCTTATTCTTCAAGAAGATGGTTTGAGTTTCAATTGCATAAGGGCCATCCATAAATGGACGTTTAGACAAAGAGAGAAGGGTGAAGTCAGTAAAAAAAACGAACATTTTCGGATAAGAGAAGTGGGATTAGGCATATATGGACGTCCGGATGCTAATTATGATTTTTTTTTATTTTTGTGTTTTTTCCAGCATGTTTTCCGAAGTTTTCAAGTAAAATTGGTTTTTGAGGGTTTACCCTACTAATACCGACAGTAAAATATCGAAAAAATTTCAATACTGAAAAGAAAAACAGTAATTATACCGAAATGTAAAAGTGTTGTAAATGAAAGTATATGGAGAGATAAATCGCCCTTACTTCACTATTACATTAAGATGACTTTCTTTTTTCTGAATAACTTGCTTCAACATAAATATAATAAGATATATTTATTCGCATCTAAATAATCAAACAAAATAATTTTCATTTGCAAAATTTTCTTATCTTCTTATTTGAATTTGGTTCAGTATCAGTTGATAGTGTACCGTTTTTTTCTTTTTTCTATATCTTATCCAATTAAAATTTTCAGTTGGATTAAATTCCTATTGACAAAAACTCTGTTCAAATCAACAATAAATCACTTATTGTCATACTTGAATTAGATTGATATCAACCAAAATGTAATTGACATGCACCTGAGAATAATATTTCCAATATTATCAACAGGAATATCATCTTCAAACAACTTTCCACAAATACCTTCGAATAGTTATTTCATATCCATCTACCTGCTTTAATAGATACAAATGCTTGTTTTCAATCTTTTCCTCATCGTTGTTTGCCCAGCTAATACTTAAATAGATGATTTTCTCATAAAAAAAAAATTATTTGATATCAATGTACATAAATAAATATTTAAATGAGTAATATCCACTTTATATCTAATGAAAATGAACAAAGAAAATCAATTAAAAGATAGTATTACATAGGGCAGTCAAAAAGTTCTTGGACTCAGAAGAAATTGTTCAATAAAAAGACATTCTATTTCTTCTTCTACGGGAAATGTTAGAAGGAGTCACTGTCATGTCAGATATCAAGTTCAATTCAATTTTGAAATGTCTTTTCGTATTTATAGGAGGGTATCAAGTTGAAGCCTCGGATAAAACTTTAGTTAAATTTGTTTGTTAAGAGAGACGGTCCATGAGAACATCGAACATGGTCATACTCTTGAAAATTTTCATCCCTATATTTTATAATTGGAAATGAAAGAGCAAAGTGAGAAATATATAAATTCAAAATTTTAACTCATTCTAGCTTATCCCTGAAAAGTTATGAAGTACACACTGAAGGCGCCCTCAACAGGTTTTGAAAAATATTTTTTTTTTTACAAAATTTGGTAAGTCAGTATTTGGTTATTATTTTCACAATAAATTATCATAATCTTTTCGAATAATATACCATTTGATAGAGCAAATTCCTCTCCACAAAACTGCATATGTCATCTTGTCCTCATCCTCCATTTTCTAGGTACAACACCCTCAAAACTAGATCAACCCTACGGTTTTTTTCGCATTTTTTGTCTTGTTCTCTTTCTCATTGTAAGCTCTACTTCTCTGCCAATTCTAATAGGCGCAGAGGTTTCTTTATGGATTTTGATAGAGCAAAGAAAGAGCTATTCAATGAGTATAAAATGATGAAAATCAAAGTAGCACCAGACTTTCATTTAAGCCACACAACATATTCTACTACCGCGTCAATTATTGTATTTTCCATTATTTTTCTAGATTTTATATGCACATCACAACCCTAAACTTTCTTTCAAATGGGATTTAAATTAGAATTTATGTTTTTAGCGTTGAAAACTGCATCCGATAGGCTAATCCAAATTTTTAAAAGTCATCCATAAGGAGAGATCAGTGGTCACTTTAGAATGTGTCCAGTACAATCAATACTTCCCACAACAGTCTTTTACATAACCTACAAGCGAACTTGCTTAGTTGAGATTGTGAGATAGTACTCAATTCAAAATATATCGCAGAGAAATGAGTTTTAGGAATTTTGACGCAACCCATTTTGAAAAATCTAGAACCGTCAATATTTTATAATTTTTTTTCGAGGATCCTGCAAAAATACATATCCAAAAATAGGTGACTTGTGGATTCAATATCTCATAAATGGCTTGATCGATTGAGTTGAAATTTTTTGCAGACATATAACTCAATGAGTTGTACTCAGAATAGTATTTTCAACTCACAACTATAAACTCGTCATTTTTTTATGACTCATCGAATATTGCAAAATTCATATTTTAAACAATCTTCGTCTCTTATAATTCATGATTGGAGCAAGATAGAATTGTGAAATATTCTCTAAAGTTAGCGCTTAGAGAGAGATATCTTCACTAAAAATTTTAGCATTACATACTCTTCATATGAATCACTAGAATGCTCTCAAATCTCGTTTTTTGTGATGAAAATTGTGATTTTTAGATAAGATTTTCCTCCAAACAATAGAGTAGATCGAGGATTCAGTTAGGAAAATTTGAAAAACGCATCGAAGATAGAGAACTCCATGGCAAGACTGTCCTAGACCGCAAAGAGACAGTACTCAGTAAAGCATATCTTTTTCAATCTAGAACTGCTTTCATATGCCTTTACCAAAATTGGATCATTCACATCATATTAAACCATGTGTCGTTAGTTGTGGATATGTTTCTGATGGGGCGCGCCAAGCTTATAATCTTTGAGGGATTTAATACAATGAGTTTCTCAGAAAGACTAGGTAACCGAAAAGAAGGATAAACAGATATAGATCATCATAGACAGGTGAAAAAGGTTTATTGGAGCTTTCTCTGTCTGTGAGATTCCTTATGAAAAGCCTCAGGCATATAGTTGGAAAACGGTGATTCATCCTCATTCTTCTCTTGATATCTTTCTCTTCTTTTTCTTCTATAGTCACTGTTATTACTGTATATCTTTTTTTCTTTTCTTCTCTCTTCTCTATAGTCTGTTGTCATATATATATACGTGATTTTAAGGACATTGGGTTAAGATAAATAAAATAAAATAAAAGCTTGTCGTTTACGAGCTAACATGTATGATAGAATATTTTAATGAATTAATTTTCATCTATTTTAGCCCTTTTATATGATGTTTTTTTGGTTAATAGTTCGACAATATATTAATGAAAAATGACTTGCTAATACAGAAGTAAATGAAGGTAATGATTTATTTGTTCATTTCATCAAATTTTGAAAATAAAAAAACAAAATCAAAGATAAGTTTTACTTTTTTTTTTGTTACAGTTATAGAATTAAGTAAGATGATTTTGATGAGGGAAATAAATCTATGCCTGTGTGTTTAAATAGTTTTTTTGAAATTGATTTTCCCTATTGAGACAATTTAATTAATTATTATTTCTTTTTTTGTTCTTGTAGCTCGTCGAAACAGTACACCAAATGATTCATATTCTCGTCAATTAGGTAGTTATTTGATTTTGGTTTTTTTCAAATTAAATTTAGTTTTTTTTTAAAGGACAATGGTTAATTAATTTATTAATAAAATATTGGATATTTGTATCATGTGGTATGCTCTTACTTGTTAGTATTCAAAATACTGTTGTGATCTATCGAATTATTTATATGGTATTTTATTTATTGTTTATTCTTTCATTTCAAGTATGATCTATATTCTTAGAGATGAATAAACAAATAATCATATTTATTGTTTTTTTTTTTATTAAATTAGATTTCATTTGGATTTTGGCGAAAAACAGCAGCAACATTTCATTTAATCATAGTTATTTATTCAATGTTAGTTTTAATTGGAATATATATTTATCAAGTAGAAAGATTATTTTAATTATTTTATGAAAAAAAAATTTTTGTTGTTCATATTTTTAGTTCGAAAAAGTACATGTATTTTTATCAAAAAAATTTAGTATACAATTGTAAGTTTTCTATATGAAATAATATAGATTTTCTTTTTTGTTTGTTTGTTTTTTCTTTGTAAGACTTGCATCAATTGGACTTGAAATTGTTCCATCAGATGTTTTAGCACTTAAATTACTTACATCAAGTACATTTCTAGTTGTTAATATAATGCAATTGTATTATTTTCATTCGGGTTGAATGAATTTAAATTCGATGCCAAGGTTATTTTATAATTGAGTCTATTGAAATGTTTACTTTGATATTATATTTAATTTATTTTTCTTATCAATAAATGCAAATACAAATTCATAGATGTCTTCCCATTGAAAAAAAAATCATGCTAGAATTTTGTTCACACTACTTGCAATTATGAATGATCACGTCAATATTTACTGTTATAAGTTTGATAGTAAAATTAACTCTTCTTTTTTTTTTTACCTAAACAATAGAGTTATCAAACATATGAACGAAGTATTAGTGAATTAAAAACAAGTAATGAATTTTCCAGAGAGAGAGAACATCAGAGGTCATGCAAGATGTATCAAGATCATAGAAAATTATATCGGATATTTCACTAGTACATAAATCGCTAAGTGCAAAACCAGGATAAAAAATGATTGATCCTGCTCACCACTAATATCAGCAGTGAAATAACAATCTATTGTTTGAATATTGTACTAGTGGCGATTTTTGTTCGATTGAAATTATTTTCGAAAGAATATCTCCATTGTTTTATGCGTGCATAAAATAAAAATTCTTTTCTCAAATTAACTATGACTACACTTTCAATATCTACTTTTTTAGTGAGAAAGATATTCAAGGTCCAGCGAATGGTACATTAAAAGATATTCATGCATATGCACAAGGTAAAATATTTTCTTAATTATTATTTTCATTATCAATGCTTACTGGTTTTTTAGAAAATACTGATCATGCCAATAGTTTTCATACTCAACAAATCTTACAATGTGAAGCTAAAACTTGGCAAGAAACATTATATAAATTTTATTTTCGTACTAATCGTCTCTATAAACAAATAAATTATGATGGTTGGCGTTTTGCTGAATTATATATTTTTAAATTAGTTCTACTTATAATGGTTCTTATATCTACACTTAAAGTAAATAAGAAATCCTTATTTTTTAAATGATAATAATATTCATGTGTTATTAGGTATGTGGATTTAATACAATATTAATTATTTTAGTAACAATTGGTTTAACATTCTTTCATCTTCGAAAATTAATAAATTTATTAACATTAAATACTACGGGTCTTTATATTCTTTTATCAATGTGTTATCAATTCGAAATAGGCAAACAACATATAATTGAAAAAAAGTTTTTTATTAAAAATTCTTCTCATGTATAGAATAAAATTAAATGATTTTAAGTTTTGTTTTTTTTTCTATCGAGAATATCATTTAGATTGATTCAAATATGAGTTTAATACCAAATGATACGGTTAAATGGTTTGGTCTTGAATCAACACCAAATATTGATCGATTTATTGGTGTAAGAAAAAGATAATCTTGTTTAAAAAGATAAAAGAAAAAAGTTTTGGAATTTTTTTTTTTTTAGCTTTATATATTATTAACAATCTGTTTAACATTTGATGCAATAGTACGATATCGACAAAAACATCATCGTTTATTATTATCAGTTCGTTTTAATGTTCATCTTGTTGAAAATCGTTTTCCAATTTTATTTCAACCATTTGCATTAAAAACTATAAATGATGATAATACATATGAATTTGATATCGTTAATTATCAACAAGCTGATCAAGGAATTTATGATTTTTTGAAATATTTAGCAAATTTTATTTTTTATAGATTTGGTTTAGAGGTAAATCAAAAAAAAAACAAATTTATTTATATAACAAAAAAAAGATTTTATCTTTTTCTTTTTTGTTTTAGATATGTTATATAACAACAGTTATTGTTGTTGGTATTCGTCTAGATATGATAGCTGTACTTTATTCTATGTGGTTGGGATTATTTTTAATATCTAGTAGATGTATTATTCAACGAATGTGGTCAATTTATATTTTGTTTTTAATTATTTCTTTTATTATTCAATATATGAGTGCCGTTGGAGCACCACCATTTCTTTGCATCAGTGAGTATTTTCAATTTTCCAGTAGAAGATCGAGATTTTTCATAACAAAGTATTAGTTTTATATGTCGGAATTATAAAGAAGATATTTATAGATTTCGCTTCGATATATCTCTATGATTACTGTAGATAGAGCCTGTCGGATCTGAGTCTAAAAAATTTTTTTACTGATTGAGTTCGGATGGACAGAAAGCTTTGATGCATAGAATAATATTTTTTGGAATTTTTGATTTTATTCAAAAAATAATAAAACTCTTCCTGACTATAGTATTTAAACCTAGCTACCATCATAAATCTACTAATCAAATAATATATTATCTGGTTCTACACAAGAATTGTAGGGTAAAAATGATTCTCACAATTACGTTTTAATGAATTTAAAGTTGTCTTGGTGTAGAATAGTAGCGTAACAAGGATTTTAACAGCAGAGGAAATAGAGCTTTCGGGTATAAAATTTTTGAACTCGCACCCGATTGAATCTGAAACTAACCCGACAGGTTTTAAGAAGCAATGAAGGAGTGAAAGCTCAGGCAGTCGAGTTTTGTCTAGAGTAGAAGCTTGTGATGAAGTATAATAACTGTGACTCGATTCAGCGGTGATTCAGCCTTGTATTGATTGTTCTACTAGTCCAGATATTACCATGGATCTTCCTATACTTACTAATCTTTACCAACTCTTATTTATTATCGGTTAAGTCTTTTTTTTTATTTATTGTAGAATGATAAATCTAACTAACGAGGAAATCTTTCCAACTGTCTAATCGCTTTCTCAACGAAATCTACGGAGTCAAAGGTTATCGACTATGCTGATTCCGAATATGAGTATGAGAAATATCCTTAGGCCTTGATAGAATGGTTTTCTAGGAAACCAGTATTCCAGAATACTAAATATTTTACCAAATGCTGTTTTCGATCTGCTCAGATTATAGAGCAGACCAAATTGCCTATGAAACAATAACTGTTTCTATTTCAGATCGATTTTATCTAAGAAATAAAGATATTTGAATTCATATAATCGATGCATACTAGAGGGCTGGACCATTTCCCCCTCTCAGAGAGAAACTGTTCCACTTCAAGGAGAAATGCTTAAACCACAAAAAGTCAAGCAGAAATCCTTTTCAACATCAAATCTTCCTTCCTGCCAAACGGACATTCTACTCTATATCGATTTTTTCTAGCAGAAATGATTAAAATACCAGGTGAAATGCTTCCTCCATTTCCTTCCTAATAAAGAGAAATCGAAATTATTCAAAGAGAAATCAATAATTAAAGCAACGCTTAAAATACCAAGTGAAATGGTTCATCCATTTCTCCACTAATAAGGAGAATAGGAAACTATTCAAAGAGAAATCATAATTTTCTCTTTTATCTTAAGGAGAGTTTCAAGCAGATATCGATTTTTCCTAGGAGAAACGATTAAAATACAATGTAAAATGGTTCATCCATTTCTCTACCAATAAGGAGAAATGGAAATTATTCAAAGTGAATTCAATCACTTTCTTTTTGTGTACTCAAAAAGTGAGTACACTCTAGAATCGGTCAGTATGTCCGGCCGTCCGTCCGGCCGTCCGGCCGGCCGGCCGTTTACACGATAACTTTCGAAAGGAGAGTCCGATCACGATGAAATTTTCTACACAGTTCAGTCTTTACAATATCTCGGTCGAGTTCGAAGATGAGAAGGATCGGCCGAGCCGTTCCTGAGTTATTGCAAAAATACCGATNCACACACACCCACACACCCCCACCCACGCCCACACCCACACCCACACACACACCCACACACACACCCATACCCACACCCCAAGTTGTAACCGATTTATATGGTCAGAAAGCGGAAAGTCTTGGCTTCAAAATAGTTCTAAAAAAACTTATTTTCATTGAATCAAAATTGTTGGAGAGAAAACTGATTTTCGTTCATAAAAAACGCCAAAAAGAACTGACCTTTGCTGTTGTTGCTTGAAAACTCCCATAGCGATGGCAGCAGAAAAGTTTGTAGTTTTACAGTAAGTAGGGTAGATATTAAGGAGAATTTTTTAAAAAATTATTAAAATTCATTGAGCAGAAGATGAGATATAAGCGTTTTCGTATTCGGAAGGCAACTGTACAATACGAGTACGGTTCATCCATATACATTTAGTTTGTTTCTTTAAGTATGACTCACAATAATTAAGGATTAGAAAAATAAGCAGAAAATATTCAAGGTAACTCTGCACTCATGACAGAAGAAAAGCAGCATCGTGGTAACAAAATCGAGCAATGGTTTTTGCTTTGTTGTGCATTTTCCCCTTATAAACGGCTTGGTCATGAGTGCATATGCATGTATGCTACAGTAATTGGATCGAAGTGATTTTGTTGCTTTTCACGCGATTTCCCTCACTAATAATGTGTCTCATATAAATGGTACTATAACAGAATAAAAACCATTGTCACATAGATAATTTTCTCATAAATCGGTGAGAAAAAAGATACTTAGATGAGTTAAATTAATTACTAATGCTAAAACGTTAATATTTATAATTATTAAAAATAAACCAATCTTTTATAAACATTACTATTCAACTTAAAGGGTTTATGATTTTTCGTACATTGACTGAATGAGCTTTTAATTGGTAGACATTTTCTTTTTTTGTCTGTTTTTGACAATGATTCAAACGGATTTATTCTCATATCACAAAAATATAGAAATAAACGAATATCAAAACATACATGGATATAATAATGTTGACAGTAATCAAAAGAAAAAGAATAATTACATTAGCATTATAAAGGTATCCTTTTTTCCTTTGTCCCATTTTTCATATGGTAGGCAATGCAATTAATGCATACATGCGCATCTACGGTGAACGTCAGATAAAAATCAAAATACGACCGTTAATAATACGAATATATCAATGAAGTATGATTTTTTGTTCATATGTAACTTATGATAATATATGCGTCTTATAGACGAGTTGTATAACTACTTCACTTTTGCATCGCACACTATTACAAAAACAAATTGAGGATAACGTTGTTACATTGTTGATTAATCAAAATACATATTCAAGCAAACAAGTCAAAAGACTTTGTACCACGATAAAGTAAATGTATACCTTTTTAATAATTTCATTTAATATTTAAAAATGAAATAATCCAAAAAGAATAAATATGATCTGCATTTATTTGAGAGCGATTGAATATTAAAATGAGAACAGTAGTAGTTGTTCCATTTCTACAACAAACTGGATTTTTATTGTATTACCGTTATCATTAAACTTTGATTTAAAATGTTTTTCAGTTTCTCATTTCCGTCTGTTTATTTGTTGTATCTGTTTTTCCTTAAAAACAAAGCACTTAAGTAAATCCTTATAGCATAACTTGCCAATTTGAGACAAAGAATAATGATACAACGACCTAGATTATATGTCGATGATAAATAGAAAAACTTCATTTTAATACATAGACTTGAACCAAAAACAATCACTAGTTTGGATTACGTCTGCATAATGAAATTCATTGTGAGTAGAAAAATATATTATAATAATATCACTATTTTGTAGATTGCGTTTAGTCAAGAAATACATTGTTATTAGAAAATTATTGAAAATAAAAATAAATTTACTTAAACAATTCAAGCTCATCAATAGAGATAACATTTCCATATACTTTTTGTATTGAAATTAATGCACAGTGCCTAGTTGTCAAAGTATGAAGTTGAAATATTATGAAATTTTTATTATAGTCATTACATTTCAATTTTCTAGAAATAGAGATTGACTGCCTTATCGAACATTGGGGACATATGAGACATATGAAAGATATCCTAGCATTTAATGAACTATTAAGATAATTGAATATTTTTAGCAAAAGGTGTATGCCAATTTGAATAGTTGAAATTTCATGCATCAAATTTCGTTGACTTTTTCAAATAGCGAACCAGTTATCTCTTAATTATAAAGGATGGGGTGTCGTTAATTCTGCATGTTTGACTCAAAGCTCGATATTATCTAGCTCTCATAGAATTTATATATCTCAAACTTGAAACTTGAATTGAATTGAAGAATAGTTAAAACTTGAAAAAAAAAGAACTGCAGTTTCCAAATTTTAACTATTCTAACGCAAGACATCTCTCGATGAGGGTTTCACGAAAACACACATCCACACACAGGATATCTGTCCCGTTGAATTTCGAAACTTGAAAATTGATATGTTGAAGCTTGAAACTTGAAACTTGAATTGAAAGTTGAAAGGCAAAGAGTAGTTGTTCAATTGAATTTAACTTTGAAGTTGGACACTACTGTAACATATTACAGGAAACACGTGCAGGTGATTCTAGAAAAATTACAGATAATATCTTCTGGTAGCGCTTCAAAATTTACAGATAGGATGTCCAGTTGTCTTTCAAAGAGTTGCCAGTATAATGCCGAGGTATTCCTCGAAAGACTATACACATCTAGGCTAACTATCAGAGTTATAACGTTCCAGTAGCATTGTTAGAAGGAGGGAAGAAAATAGATAGATCATAATAAAGTATGGATTCCAACTTGACTGACTCATTTTTTGTATATGAAATGAACCATGTTTCTTTGACTCTTCTTGTTGGTTCACTTTCTGCGACCTTCGAAAAGGGCGAGGGCCGATAAGGCCATTTTTCTGCCCCGAAAAAATCTTTCAGTCTTTTATATTAAAATCAAGTCAGCAACGACTCCTGATGATACTGCAAAGGTTTATTATGCAACATCTCTCCATCGATTTTTCGGCCCATACCTGTACTCCCCCACAGCAATGTTAAAAATAAGCTTTGGCCATCCCTGTGGGGGAGTACAGGTATGGGTCGAAAAATCGATGCAGAGATGTTGCAAAATAAACCTTTGCAGTATCATCAGGAGTCGCTGTTGACTTGATTTCAATAAAAAAAACTGAAATATTTTGGGGCAGAAAAATGGCCTTATCGGTCCTCGTCCTTTGGTATGAATTATGCAATACTGATAAGTGCTTACTTCATTCATACTCACAGGTTCTCTTAGAAGCCGTGTGAGAAGAGGTTTTTCAGACCAAAAAGTTACTTTAAAAAAATCAATAATAGTTCAACATCAATTGAATGGATTGAATTTTTCATTTAATTCGAAACAATATTCTATTTTGTTTAACTCTATCACAAATAAAGCTGTCGTACTTTCTTGCATATACTGTCTGAACAACAGGGACATTGACATAAAAAAATAGGAATCTAAAATAATTCAGTATGTTTTAGTGATATCAAAAGTAAAACACGAAAAATGTTTTATCAATGACGCAGAATTATGCTTTTGGACCAGATAAAACAACTTTCGTTTTTGCAACGCAGCATGCCCATCACACGATAGAGCAAAAGAAAAGAAAGATATAAGAAAGTAATGTGTTACTTGTTTGTCGCATTTCTAGATGGATTCGTCGACAAACGTCGTGAAGTTGGATTTCGCAAATAGTTCGATAAATCCAATTAACCAATCGATCAACAACAATGACTCTTCTCGCAGTGTAGCATCAGCAACAGGTATAGTAAAAAAGCTGCAGTTAGTAATTATATCTACTCACAGCTATAACTTCTGTCATGATACATTGCCAGAAGCTCAAAGAGAGACTAAGGTTATCATTAGATCAGCTCACCAGTGTAGAGTACAAAATAGATAATAACTTTCGACTTGATAACAACTTCATTTTGCAACATGTTCTATCTTCATCGAACTAATCGATTGAATTCATCAAAAGTAGTCTCGTGAATATGTTTGAAGAGAAACAACATACGAAATTATACTTGATGTTTACTAAGACTCGTACTATGGCTCATCGGTAAGTGGCGATGTATCATCGATGATCAATATAGTAGTTGTATTGTATTAGTTGGTCTCATCACTTAATACATTCTTTATTCAAGAGTGAGATGAATGTATGTTGAGAAAAATATGCTACGATACACTGCTGATTTAACTATTGGTAGTGTGAATAAATTACAAAAATTAAACCCTTTGTTAGACGGATGGCCTTCAGCAAAGACTATGGTCGTGTTTCTCGGCAGTTATTTATAAACCTCATGAAAGGTCTACCTCCGGTGGTACTCTCATTACTAGCTAAAGCTGTAATGTTTTGCAAAGCGATTTTAGACAGCTTTTTAGGAAAGAACGCTCTGTTTCTGTCTTGCTTTATTTCATTCTACGATTGAAAAGCTATCATACTGCGATGAAGCTACCAGAAACGACTAACCATTGCAATTTGTATTCGCTTTGTGATGCAAACCTTCGACATTTGTGCTAAGAATCTTTCGGTTTTTTCTACTAAGCGATTTCAGAAAATAACAACATATCATATGCATCTCTGATTGGTTTTATTATGTAGTCAGCGACAAAAATGATTATCCTCCTAACACTAATAATAAATGTTATCATCTCAATTTTTAACGTCCATGGAGTGTCATTGCCATCAGAGTAGACGTACTCATCAACGTAATATGTAACTTGTACTTGAGAAAGCTCAGTTGTAAATGAAACAGAAAAGGATGTTAAAGCATCAGTTGATAGAAACTGTGTTCAATTGAATCATATACTAACTACGAAGTATTATTGTTGCTTTTAGCATTTATTTATCTTGAAACGTCAAAGAGTATTTGACTTCGATTTTGGATATTACCAAGAAATAAGAAGATAGTATGATTACTATGCGAAAGTTTATCAATAGACGTAATATTTTTATGGTTTTTCCTGTAGTGAAATTAAATTTCAGAGAAAAAAGATATCAAGCCTTTGTTTCAGTTTTGAGAGATTCTCTAGAAAATAATTCGAGTTTCGAAATAATCAACTATCATCAGCATATCTAACATTTGAAGTCACTTCATCACAAATATTTTCAGTGAATTTTCTCTTGTCTATGTGCAACATCATCATTAATTAAACTTGGAGCATCTTCTTGTATTGGAAAACAGGAAAAGTACATTGTTATTTGTGGCAATGAAGTTGTGGTTTAATAGATGTAACATACTTCTCAGCTTCTACAAAACCCTATTGATCTAAGGTTAATTCCATTCATTCGATTGAGTAGCACAGCACAAGAAAGTTTCATTGTATTTTTTCTCGGACGGTGGACAAATGAGAAAACAATGAATAAAAAATTAACATATTTCAGTTATTAGATACATTTGATCAGTATTTATTTTCATTTAGTCTCGAAAGAACTTAATTCAAGAGAAAATAATGAATCAATCGATGCTACACAACACGAAAACCAAAGCGGTATTAAATCATCGCTATTTCGACCATTACGAAAGCTTTATATTCATTTGAGTAATTCTCTATTTCGTAAAATGTTATGGAATATTCTATTATTGGCATTGTCGTGGAGTCTCGGTCAAGGTATTTTTTTCATTCAAATAAGTATAACTACTCTAGCAGCTACAAGTTTTACCAACTGGTATCTGGCAACAATTCCTATTGGTTCTATGCTCTTTGTTGCCACTGTTTGGTCTGTATTTTTACCACGAGTCATTCTTCATTGTGGTTATCGACCTCCATTCTATTTCGGTGCTCTGATGGGTATGATTGGAGCTGGACTTTGTATTGTAGCAACATGGTTTAAACTCTATTGGTTACTAATAGTGAGTGCTACATTTATTGGTGGACAAGTACCATGTACATTCTACTATCGTCTGGCTGGATTACAATTTTCAACACAAGAATTTGCTTCAAAAGCCATTGCGATGGTCACTGCTGGCGGTTGCCTTTCTGCTTTTATTGGGTACGTTCATCAGTGTTATAAATATTATTTTATGAAACTTTTCACTTTATTTTGGAAGAATAATACTGAAAACATAGATGATAGTTCATAATTATATGTCGTAATCACTATTTTAAAACATGGTTGCTTACTTGAGAATATGAGATAGAAGTGCTACACAATTTCTCTTCTATTCATAAATATTATTTTTATGTTTTTGTAGACCAGAAATAGCCAAACTTATGATCAATGCACTTCCAAAGCAATACAGTGGTGCTTATTTAGCAGCATTGTGCGAATGTGCGGTACTGTTATTCATCATAAGAATAATCCAATTTCCAGATGTTAAAAGAACACACAATTCAATAGAATCGATTTCATTACCTACAAGCATGGACACAAATCTTAGTTCAAATGGTCGTTCAATCCTTACAATAGTTCGTCAACGAACATTTGTGATTGCTGCTTTTGGAGGTTTTGTTTCATGGTCAGCGATGGGTATTCAAATGTCATCTGCAGCGCTGGCAATGATTGGTTCTGGACATACTTTTACTCAAGTGATAACAGCTGTTGAGTATCATATATTGGGAATGTTTTTACCGTCATTTTTTACTGGAACTCTATGTAACTGGTTTGGAAGCCGACTGGTTATGCTCACTGGACTTTTGATCCAATTTGTGGGTACTTTTCTGTTTCAATGTGGTTTTGAAATTATCTATTTTGATATGGGTTTGATTATTGTTGGCATTGGATGGAATTTAGGTTATGTTGGATCATCAGTTCTATTCACAAAATCATACTGTCCAGAAGAAAAAATGAAAGCTCATTCGTTGTATGAAGCCATATTGATGTTTAGCATATCAATATCATTTTTTTCATCGGCATTTGCAGAACAATTTTTAGGATGGAAGACTTTAACTGGAATGTTAATTCGCATCTACATGGCTGCAGCTGTGCTCATAGTGGCTGTAGATACGGCATTTGTATTTTATAAGACTAAAAATATACGAATAGAAATAACATGTAATGACAAACAAGTAAAAACTCAAGAACTAAATATACAAGTTTGTTCAGAGTTACATGTTAGATAACATGTTAGAAATAGTTTATTTCATAACATTTTTCTACATTTATATTTCATAACGAAATACGATGGATATAGATATAGTAATTCATTCTATCTCGATTCATACTCGCATTATGACTAAACGATGAGGGGAAAAACAGCAAAGACTTCAGTCTTAAAGTCACATGAAGTTTTTGGGCTATAGTTTTTAATATAATTATGTTGAAATATCATGAATAGAAGCGGCACCAAAGTTAACCCTTTTACTTTGCTTTAGAACTTAATGTGAGATACTTTAATCTTTTAACATTAAAAGAAAACAAAGTTAAAGTAATTATCTTGTGTAATAACGAAAAATTTATGCACTTGAAAATATCGCTATCTTCGAAAGATAATTTCACCTGACGAAATTTTCCGTTATTCGATAGGTAACTTCTTAAATTTTGATTATTTTAAAGTTAAAGTGTATTAATTTAAAAAATAATATCAAATCAATTATTTATTTTACCAAACAAATCTGTAAATCGCGAACACTTCCAACATCATATCAGGTTTCAGTTGTTAATATTTCACTTGTACAAAAATCACGACGACTGTCAGTTGCTAATTTAAAAGTAGAATTAACGTTTTATCATACGCACATTAATGACTCACTATTTGCATTGTTTCGTATTTGTAATGAAACGTGATGAAATGTTTGTTTTACTAAAGATTCATGATCAACTATTGTACATCGAACAAATTGCGTTATGAATCAAAAAAAAAATTTTTATGTTTATCGATAGTCAAATAATTTATATGACAAAATGACATACCACATATTGTCCTTGGAATAACGATGAAATAGTATTTTTCATTTTTTAACTTCAATTTATCAAGTACCTACAAAACAAAATGACAATAAAGCGACCTGATATTCTTCTCCAGCATATCACTGGACAAAACTCTTGTATATGATGTTGACAAAATTCATTTGGTTTGTTTCATCCAAAAAAAAATACATTAAGCTGTTTTTATGAATTCTTTAAAAAGAAACTAAAGTATACTCAAATGAACGTATAAATTTATTTGTATTAACTGGTCGATTAGTAAATTGTAGATTATAAGAAATTTTTTGTAAGGCAAGTGGAACACAATGTACTTGATCTTCACTATCCGTTGACAGTGCATATAGAGCTTAAATACAAACAAATTGTCAATATTAATTATAATAATAATTTAAACTAGACAAATTTTTCGAGTTTAAATGAAAGAAATCTCTCTGAATTGAATGAGCAATCTAAACCATTTAAGATGAAATTTAACAAACGCTTCGTAGTTTTTTAGTAAAATAAATCATTTGTACAAGTAGATTCATGTCACAATTTGCATCAATATTTCTCAAACCAACAAAATTACAATATCTTTCGGAACCCCTCTACATTTAAATATATTCAGGTCGTTTTTACAAAAGAAAAAGAAAAACACTTCTCAGCTTACTCTACACTACGTGAAGCTTCAGCACGAATTTTTGCTTCGATTAGAAGTATATTATATTACTCATGTATGAATTCATTATACATTTCCTAATATTCACAATATACATTTACTTTCTACAAAATTATTATTTTGATCAATAGCATGTGAAAGAGTTAGTTCAACTTTAGTAGATATAGACCAGCCAGATAGAAACTTTTCTAGTTTACATTACAAAAAAACATCTAAAATCTCCACTATCATTATGACAACAATAAAACTTTAGTTTAGAAAATGCCAATATAGTTGAGAGAAATCTACGAATTATTTATTGATCACGTATTAATTGACCATATCGTAGTCGTGATGGTGTAGTTATATGAAAACGAATTGAGCAACCATTATGAAATACTATTTAGTAAAAAACACGTTAAAATGAGATTGTTTTGTTATTTCGTATGATTGCAGTTGTTAGTATATTTTCCATTGTAAAAATTGACATAAATAATTGAATCATTAGAAAAATCTTCAGATTCAGCTTTGGTTGCTTCTTCATCATCTTTTTTCTTCTCTTCAAATCTTTTAGATTGAATCATGCATGCCAAAGCTTTTATTCATTTGATTGTTTGGTTTATATGAGTTATCACGATCGGATAATAATAGAGGTAACTGGTACGTGTGGAAGAGCAGAGTCAAAAAAACGACAAATTTTCGATTCGAAATAGTGTTTTTCTATTCTGTTTGATTTTATGAAATATTTTTTATGATGATTCTTTGTAGAAACTCAGACTTTCACAGTATGTGTGCGTTTGAATTCAATCATCGTGTTTATTATTGAAAATAAAGTTGGTTTCTGTGAAGTATTTTCATTTGGTTGAACTAAGTTTCAGCACCAAAAAAGTGTTGAGATGCTAGACGTTCCAAATCTGCACCTCCTCCCTTGACAATGAATAATATTGAGTAAATCTAATGAAAACTTCGTGTATGAAGAGAATTGAACTTATTATCAATAAGAAAGTAATATTATTGAATATAATATTTCGAAAGTTATTGCCCATCGTTTTTAGACGATCAAAGACGAATGGATATAAAGAAAAGCATGAATTATAGTACAGCCAGATTTGCAATAATCTATAAAACAACTCAGCTGTCCATATTTAAGATTAGTAAAAGTTCGTCGAATATCGTCATTTAATGAAGATAAAAACAGTTGTTCCACACGAATTTCGGTACTAATATAAAAGGCTAATGTGCGAAATTATTAAAAATGAATAACAATGTCATTTTGAGGTTGAATGCCATCGATATATGTAACTTGATTGTATATACAAAAACATATAAGGTTAACTTCTCAAAATTACACATCCGACGAAGCAGAGGAACAATTTAAGTGTCATATGCATAACTTAAACGAATAATTTTCAATGAGAAATATTTCATACTGAGGAGATCATCATATTGAACAATCAAAACAATACATGATGTACGTAAATCAATAAGTTTCAGATAAAATCCTTATTATGAAATATTCTTCAGGTAGCCAAAAATGAAACCATTGGCTTCATTTGTAAATTTTCGATTAGATACATGAATTGCAGTATAAATATGATTCTCAATTATAGATTTTACAAACTACTAAAATTTGTTAATCTTAATTAATTTCGGTTTATTTTCAAATTGATTGTTTAAGTAAAAATAATTCTTATTCATGTATTGATCAATTAGATGAATACACTCTTTTTCATCTGTGTAGTAAATTTTATATTAATTATTCAAGTATTTTTATATATTCTAGTATTGATTTTAATGATGAATATTATATTAATAATCAACATACATCAAACCATCAATGATTAACATCTCAGTGAAGATAATTGAACTCAATAGAAATAGATTAATATTCTTTAGTAGAGTGTGGGTGTGGGTGTGAATGACTGGAACCCAAGTGAATGGATCAACAATCACACCCAGATCCACCCACCCACACTCACCCATCTATTTTTTATTCTGACGACGGTGAATCAGCTAATTGACTTATACAACCAGCTACGATTCAGATAGCTTTAGACCTGCTGCAACTCTTGAAGTATTTTCCCTGTTATTTTATTTCATCTGTTGACCAATACGATTGCATCAACGATATGAACTTTTAGGTATGAATGTCAGTACAGAATATGGAGACAACAACTTTGCCTGATGTTGTAATGGCGAGAGCTGTAGGTTCGTGCCAGACTGCACCGCGACAAAGATTTCACTGGAAACTTTGACGATAACCGGTAGTAGCGTAGACACGACGCTGCTCAACGCTTGTAAGAGATATTCATAGAAAAACTGTCCCATTGAGTATAGCGCACACCCGAGCGGATGAAAAACGAATTGATATAGTCTATCACAAAGCATTCGTGCAACGTACAAAGCCAATCTACTAACTGGTTTTAACATCTCACAATAGATATATGGACTAATCGTAAGAATCGCCCGACAGAAAGACAACAGAGCCTATCCAGAAAAGAACGCATAGCCATCACAAAACGAACCTGTCATACACACCACGCAGGTAGGCACATGAAGAACAAGTTGTCGTAGATAATAATCAATTGTTCGCATGCTGTCTTTTACCCCTCTGTATAATGGTGTTAGGAACTCAGTGTAAAGGAACGAGCCGATCTTGACAATACTCTGATAGAATGGCAACAGTGGATCAATAAAAATGAATATCCATAATGGGTATAGAATGTTTTGCCATGTCCATATGCATGCTGATTGAAATCTACGAAGTAGCAATCTGAGAGCGCTGCGGAGTATGATATAAAGCTCGTTGATCCATGCAGGAGTCGATGTAATTAGGGGTGGCATATTTACTTTACTTTTTATTTAGGTAACTGTAGTAAAGTAACTACTTTAGTTACTATTAGTTACTTTTGTAAAGTAACTACTTTTTTATGTAGTTATATTGAACCAGTAACTAAAGTAGTTACCTAGTTAGCACTACGGTAAAGATAAAATTTCATTCTATAACAGGACTGGAAGGATAATTTAGTTATTATTAGGTCGCCTAAAGAACGGTTGTAGACAAAATCAGTATACTTCAGGTTTCTAAAATTTTGATTTGGAAATTTTGTTCAACCTACATCGATAGAAATTTTATTTTAAAATCGAATTGAACAAAATTTACAGATTTTCCTAGATTTTTTCAATCCAATTTAGTTCTTGAGTGTCTTAAAGTATTTATGAGTCCAACATAACTAAACTCATGAATAGGGAACTGCTTTCAGCTCCATTGACACTAAGTCATACATGAGCATACT